GCTTAAGGCAGAAAGGGCTTACAATTGGCTAACAATTCCAATCCCAGTCTACCATTGTGGGAAGCCAAGGCAGGAACTTCAGCTAGTGACATCATATCCACAGTCTAGAGCCAAGAAAAATGAATGCATACATGCTCACTTGCGTGCTTGTGCTCAGCCTTATTTCCACATTCTTATGGAGCTCAAGACCCTCTGCCTAGAGGATGGTGACACCCACAGTGGGCTGGGTCTTCCCACATGATTAACTTGATTAAAACAACTCACCTACAGAAATGCACATAAGCCAAGTCAGTGAGGACAATCCATCATTGAGATTTGCTTTCCAAGTAATTCTAGGTTATGTCAAGTTGATAATTAAAGCTAACCATCACAGAACTAATGGTTATTGAATAGTCACTATGCATCAGTGATAATACAGGCATTTTCATTTCAGCACATCAGAAGTTCTAAGTCAATTTGTCAAGGTTTCATTGGTAGCTAAGTAGGAGAGTTTGGATACAACCCCAAATGTGATTTTATGGCTTGTGATGTTTCTACTACCTAGATTCTGTAGGTAAAGGTTTAACTGTAATTTTAGGCCTAGTACCACTTTTAATTAGTTTCCTCCTACATATAATGCATCTAATAGTGAATCCTACTATATAGGCCAATTATGGTTATTATGCAATATAGTGAGTTTGGACTAATTATCATATCAATATGAGCTTAGTGAGAAAAATCATTAACCCAGAAATATGATGGAAAGAAACTTAGAGCAAAGTATGAGCAGGCTAAATCAGTGTAAGATGTCACACCAAAATTTTATGATCAATATAAAATTGATCAGATCATATAAAGATCCTATGGAAGGAAAACCTTTCCATGGGTTGTAAGAAAGTATAGTATACTCTCAATATATATGCGAGAGAATTTGTTACATATTGGAATTAACAGGAATTACCACCTATGAGAGATAAAGCATAGACATGACACTATGAAAGCATCCCCTGCTTCCCATCCTTTAGTTCATGCTATATTTGAGGCCAGTGTTTCTTTGATACAATAGGACATGTCTTATCTTAGCTAAAATTTTTATTTGCTGGTTACAACCACTCTTTATAACCTGTGTAGATGTAACCAACTGTCTTATTAAATAAGAAACACAGAACCAATATAAAGAAGAAAGCCAAGAGGTCAGAGGTCAGAGGTCAGAGCTAAAACCTTACCCTTGCTCCTGCGGTGGTCCTACCTCTCCAAAAGAGAGCTACTTCCTGTGTGTTTGTCTTTAATACAGTCTTTCTGTTCTGCCTTCTCATTGGTTGTAAACCCAAACACATGACTGCCTTGTCACTGCCTGTAAGTACAGCCCTCCAGGTCTTAAAAGGCGTATGTCTCCAATGCTGGCTGGATCCCTGAACATACAGAGATCTACCTAGCTCTGTCTACCAAGCACTGGGATTAAAGGTGTGCGCCACCACCACCACGCTCTTGCTATGGCTCTAATAGCTCTGACCCCCGGGCCAACGTTATTTATTAACATACAATTAAAATCACATTTCAGTACAAATAAAATACCACCATATACCTGCTTCAATTCACTTAGCTTAAATTAGTAGATAGGTTATGTATAGGGTCAATATCCTTAACTCTACCCACAGACTTTATTAGCTATAACTACATTAGCACACTGAGTCACCTGAGATACAACACTTCTAATTATTTTAATGTGATTTGCTTGCATTTCCATTTTCCACCAATAAACCACAGAAGAGTACACTATATTGTAGCTGGAGTTTTCTCCAGTCTTGCCTGGTCCATGGTCAGGACAAATCTCTCTCACCTGCCAGTCCCACAGCCGCTCAGACCCATCCAAGTAAACACACAGAGACTTATATTGCTTACAAACTATATGGCCATGGCCAGCTTCTTGTTATTTAGTTCTTATATCTTAAATTAACCCATTTCTATTAGTCTATAAGTTGCCATGTGGCTCGTGGCTTACTGGTACCTTACATCTCACTTGTCATGGTGGCAGCTGGCAGGGTCTCTCTGCCTCAGCCTTCCACTTCCCAGAATTCTCCTCTCTGCTTGTCCTACCTATGTTTCCTGCCTGGCTACTGGCCAATCAGTGTTTTATTTATTAACCAATCAGAGCAACACATTTAACATACAGAACATCCCACAGCACTATATATAGAATATTTTAAATCTGGGTCTTAATGCATTGATCATTCTGAAAAGTATCCATTGAATATATATATATATATATATATATATATATATATATATATATATATATATATATATATGAATGACTGCAGGAACTGTACATTATATGCCTGTAAATAGATAATTAAACTTGAACTCCTCTTTGAGAATCAAACAATTAAATCGATATGAAACAAGACCAGATTAACTTGAGTAAAAACAATGTTTCCTTATGACAAGGGGAAGTATAAGGACATTCTTCAATCTTAATAAAAAGGAAAACAAGTTTAACTATGTGTTTTAACACACACATTGCTCTAGGCAACAGTGTGTGTATTTATCCACAGCATGCATTTTATTCATCTAGGTTTTACTTATCCATAGTATGGCTGTGTGAGTCTTGCCCGTATTAAACATATCAATGTGCTAGTGCCAATTATAAACAGAAGTTTACTTAGACTTCATGAAACTGACGGAAAACTTGAAAAAGAAACAGTTTTCCTCACTTTTCCAGTTAAGCATTTTATAATTTTTTTTATTTTGCTTTGATAGTGTTCATTTTGGGTTAGTCATCTTGAGGATTTAAAGAATTTTGATTCAGTTTTACAAAGGGAAAGTCAGTTCTCAACAGGGATGGTACCCCTGGCGGGTTGCTCACGTCCCAGTGGATGACCCCACACATGCATGCAAATACAGGCAGCACTAACTGCAAAAAAGGTTCCCTCAAGTTGGGAGTGGCACGTGGTGATAGGGCTCTAGGAAGAGATGGGGGTAGTGTTATGAATATGCATAGAATTCTCAAAGACTAAATTAAAACATATTTTAAAAAGAAACTGATATTTAAAAGCAACATCTGCAGCTTAAATCCCTTTAGATTTTATAGACTGTGTATTATGAAAGTTAGCTGGCCATTGCTATGTCATCTCTGGAACACTGATGGATAGTCAGCATATTTTAATAACCTCATTTGAGATGAATAGATAATACTATCACACATTTGTGGTACTTCCTATCTCACTGTGATTTGTAACTATAGGGGAATTAACGTATATAAAAGGCTACTGACTGGAGTTATCTTTGGATATCTAGTTGTTAAATAATTTATGATGGCAGTTTGGATTTCAAGTTTAGTTCAAATATAGTTTTGCCCCTTGCCTCTGGGAACATTACCAAGCTATATAACTTTATTAAGCCTTAGTTCTGGGTCAATAAATTACCACACTGAATCAAGAAGACAGTGCTTACTACTAGGTGCTGTAAGGTACATAAGAAAATAAGCTTGATTACAAGCACATCTATTTTTTATTGACATTTATTATCACAACTGTTTTCATGTGACATGAGGTTGGTAACAGAGGAGAGATAAATGCTGATGAAATGATCATAACTTTTTTTATTATATTGCCATTTGAAGAGAAATATACAAAAGGGAAAGTTCCCTGGAATCATAGCTTGCCTTTGCCAACAAATGTTCTGTTTTATGGTATAGCTTAAGCACTCTTGCTCATCACTTTTCTCCCAGTACAAGGAAAATATAATGTGTGACACATGAAGCCCCACTTTTTTCCAACACTGTACTCTGCCAGTGGTACGCCCACAAACCATATGCCCAAGAGCACACTCTCTTCTACATTCTGTACCTAAATCCTCCCTCTGGGGAAATCCTCTTACTTCTAGTGCTGAAGTGTGCAAAGAAATTATGCTATTGTTCATCAGCTATCATTTAACAGACTAGCAGAGGAGAATGCATTCATAACTAGTCTCATTTGATTTTGCACTGATAAGGTAGGAAGACTACCCTCTCTGTTTTGTGTCTTAGTTCACTTAATACCTTTCACAAAACAGCACCGTGTATACAGATGATTGACTTAAAGTCCAAGCTTGAAGTAACTGCATGTAAGGTGAGAGAGTCATATGTCATAAAGGTGTATTTAGAGAAAAGAAGAAATGACAGCCATCAATCATAAGCAAGAGCTCCTTTTATAAAGCTGGCTTACTCATCAGTCAGTCGCTCAGATTCTACTTTAGTCTCCTCAGTCCCTCTGCCCCCCTTACAGTCTGTAGAAAACAGTGTAAATCCTTATCCTATAGGGCCTCCTCAGTCTCCCATCTTTTTGTCTAGAGCATTCTCCCCTCAGCATCTGTAGGAGCACGACTGATCCACCATCAATGTTTAGTTCAAATTTTTATGAATCTCTAAATTCGGAATACACGGCCCACCAAAATCTAGAGATCCTACTGTACTCACTGTAGTCGTTGGGTTAATGGTCTTTGGGGCTTTACCATACTGCATCTTCTCTTCCATTTCTGTGGATAAATAGCATATATCCGTTGATAAATGCATACATTTATATATCTATACTGTGCAAATACATATATAGGCATACAAATATGAAATAAATCTGCACTATTCATAGTATTCCTAAATACTGTCTTTAAATGAATTCTATATTATTTCTCTCATAGCTGAAAACATTTAAGGAGAAAGTTGTAAAATTGCCTTATATTTTGGCTTCTGTTTTTCACATAATTAGAGTGGCTTGTTTTGTCAGAGAGTACATTTCTTCTAAATAACATACAAATTTTATTTTTCAAGTGTACATTTCCAATAATTTAAAACGAAATCAATTGCAAGTAAAATTTGTGGATGTCTAGTACTAAATGATAAATACATTTTTTTTTAATATGGAGAAAAAAAATGTCACGGGGCTATGTCCTTCCAGACTGGCCATTGTTGTAGCTCATACAGTTCACAGTGGGGTAAAGCTGAGGATACTTTTGTCCTCTGGTAGCATGCAGAGCACCTTCCAGACTATGAGAGCTAGGTAGTGGGGGTCAGTACCAGGGTGATATCTTCATGTTCTATGACTCAAGCATGTGGTGTCTTCAGCAGCAGCAAATTTCACATACAACTAAGATGAAAGGTCCAGGATAAGCTCCAGAAGATGGGGATTGGAGGAGGTTGATGCTGTGCCTTTCAGCTTTTTACCTATAGCTGAAAGTGAATAAAATAGATTTGCTATTATATTAGGATAATGCTCCCATAAAAAATATAATAGCATCGTTGTGGAGAAACTGTACTCATCTACCCTTTGGTTTTCATATTGGTCATGCAATTGATGCTTTTGATATTGGATTGTTAGTGGATATGACATGTACTGAAGCTTTTACATGGTTGCTTAATATTCTAGCTCTTGCCATGAGAATGACATGCCACATTTATCCTTTGCCCCAAGAAAGATAACAGACACATTGAGCTGTCCCAGGTGACCCCAAGCATAGTTTGACTCCAATCTAGACTGGCTAGCTTTCAGACGACACACAGATATCACAGTGAAAAATTGTGTCTAGTATCATTTTGGGGTTATCTGCTAAAGGGGCTGACTGTTATAATGGTCCAAAACTGCAATAGCTAAACTGTTCAGTGGAAAGTGCTTATGATCTGTGCTGTGAAAGATGATATAAGTCTCTGTTTCCAGATAGTTTGCTCTGTATCATTAATTAATGTTGCATAGCAACATCATCCATTTGAGAGGACATCCACCGGGTATCTTCATTGTTTTAGAATTCCTGCTACTTCTTGGGACACAGAGAAGTATCAGACCTCATTATTGGCCTCAGGGAGCTTGTATATAATTGAAAGAGGTAGACCAGTATCACAACAATGAAAAACAACACAACAAATCATTATCATATGCACTGTAACAAGGCACCGTCTCATTTGACAAACAGTCAAACCACTCTATAGCTAAGCTGGGACTATGACTCCCACAGAGTTCTGGCCTCAGGTCAACACAAAGCTTAATGGAGTTGTATTTATGGAATTCAGATCTCTGGAAGACCCCATTTCTTCAGAGCACATCTGAATATGAAGAACTTCTTTCAAAACTTCTGAACAAACATAATAGATACCATAACTTCTAGGTACCAAACTTCACTTACGTCGCTTATAAGATTTACTCTGAGACTTGCTAGCCAGCCAGAGAGCACTTGAAAATTTCACAAGCATGTCTTAGAGTGGTTGGTGAACATGCTTTCAGACCACAGCATGGCTTACATGTAGACATAAAATGGAGATAAGTGTGGTCCTATAGATCCATAGAGATTGTGTCATTTCAAAGAAAAGGCCAAGACTATGACAGATAGGGCCAAGCCATACAGCATGGAAGGGGACGACTAGCTCCAATAGAGGTGACCTTGTGAATGTGTTTAGGAGTTTTATGATCTCACAACCAGCATTTCATTTCCCTCTTTGCTGGTTCCACAGTGGTTTTCATCATCAACTTAGCAACATGATGTTTCACGAGGTTCCATCCCTGCTTTCCAAACTGTTGTTCATTTGAAGGCACTGCTGCCACACCCATATCTTCTCACTTGGGATGCCACTTGTATTTTTTCTCAGGTTAAATGCTGTCTCCATGGAGAATGAGACTAACCGTTTGCTTTGTGAAGTTAGGTTGAAAGATGGGATGTCATGCACATAAAAATTGCATTCCAGTATTGACATTTAGAATGAGTGAATGAAGCAAATTGTGTCTGAATGTCAAGGTTCCTGAGCATGAGTTTTCATATAAGAATTAAGTAAAGTGACTTCCTCAAATATTGAAATGTTTCTCCATCAAAAAGTAGCATTGTATCATCTCACATATTTCACTTACCTGAAATCTTCAAGGACCTCCAGTTAGGCATCAAGTAAGGGAACAAATAACTATTTTCAATTTGTCTAATAGATAATGTTTTCCCAAATGGACACTCTCTTAACATTCCCCAAAACTTCTAATTCTATCTAGAGAAACACATTGTTTTCAACTGTCCAAGTTGGGGGAAAAGAAAATGTTTGTTGTAGTTTTTTTTTGCTTCAGGATAACTGGCCTGTTTGTGTTATTATCTCAACTCTATTGACCGTCACACACATCAAAAGACTTAATTAGAGAAATGAAAGATGCAATTCAGAGATGATAAGAAGGTGAGTCATGACAGATGCAGCACAGCACACTGCTTTCTTTAGCAATGGCCTGGTCCCACTGAAGATCTCTGCACTGTAATTACCATGTCCTTTGGCACAATTGTAACTATAACAGATTTGTCCTCTCTGGCAACAATCTGTGTTTTGTTCACGAGACAAATCAGTTTGCTTGTTTAGTGGCTAACACATCCTTTGTGCTTTCTTTACATTTGCCGGAAGATCAAAACAAAAACTTGCTTTTACACTTGTTTCTCTAAGACAGCATGGAGAGTAGTTTTAGAAGCTATTTTTGAAAGTGGTTCATACTGGGAAGATCTAAAAAACTGCAAACTACTACACAGTGAGCAAGACGTAAACTTTCCTGATATTTCTAAGGTTGGGGTGCATTTGAAAGGCCAGCAATGAGGCTGAGTCTTCAACTCAGTAGTAGAATGCTCACTGGGTATGCAGAATAACCTAGACTGTGATAATAATAAAGATGGTGATGATAATGATGATGATGTTGTTGTTGTTGATGATGATGATAAATAACGCAAGATAGGAAAATTTCAATCCAGTGTTTGATCTGTCAACATAAGAATGTCCTTGCCTTAGTCTCTACATTGGCCACCAAGAACTTATCTCTTCAATTTATAAAATATAGACTGAAATGTCCAAGTACTAAATGTTTGCTACAATAAACTTCACAATAATTTGTGTCAGTTTTATCTCTTTATGCTAAAATGAAATTCAAATCAATCAGCTAACAGAATCTCAAGGGGCTGTCTTATAAACACAACATAGTTGGGGAAGTGTAAGATGTGCAAAAGTCTCCTTTCAAGTTCCTTAAACCACATTTACCTTTGTCATGCCACTTAATTAAAATTTCATGCCTTCTTCCTGCATCTCACTTTTGTCATTTATAAATTACTTACTGAGTATAATTAGAAACTAATTATAAAGCAATTATCTCCCTACTACAGGAAAACACAGAATTTAAAATAATCGCCACATTGTAGTTTCAAAACTGTCCCTACCTTCTCGTAACACACACACACACACACACACACACACACACACACACACACACACACACGCATACTCATACCATACATACACACAGCACACATAGACCACACTTACTAATTCTTTCTCTCCCCCTCTCTCTCTTCCTTTCTCTCTATCTCCCTTTGTCTCTCACATGCATGTGTGCTCTCCCTCCTTCCATCTATTTTTCTTTCTCCCTCTGTCCGTGTCTCTCATGCATATGTGTTCTCCCCCAGCCTCCCTCCCTCTCTCCCTCCTTTCATCTGTCTGTCTGTCTGTCTGTGTCTGCTGTCCTTTGAAGGGCTACTGAAGGTGCTTCTATTTGGGTCATTTCTTCTTCCCATGGCAATTAGCTTCCAGTGTCCTGGCACCTTCAGGTCCACCTCAGAACTGTAATCCTGCATAACTACATGTGTTATATATATAGATCTTTCCTACAAATTTCTGGGTTTTTTTTCAGTTTCATATTATCATTAAAGTTTTTCTCTATTAATAAAGTACAGTTTATTGTACATTAGGGCAAAAGTCTTCATATTTCCTATGATGAGTGTGAGAAAAAGTTGTTTTAAAGTATGAGAGACTTAGTACTTTGATTAATATCAGATGTCTGAAAATCAATGCTAAAATCTGAAAAGATGGGCTTAATATTTAAAAGCGTATTTTTAAAATACACTATCTAAAAAGTACACTGATTAATAGAAATGTGCTTTGAAAGAGCTGAATTAATGATATTCATGAACTTGTTTTATGAGTCCATATCTGTATCTACATTTTTTAGATTTCCTTGTCCCTCACTAACATAGGGTATTGTCCTTCTAAGAGGAATATTTATTGCATTCACATTTCTTATGATGTCTGATGGTGTGCAGTTTTTTTGAGTGTTTTATCTGCTTAGTAGCTATGTCTACTAATTTTGTTGAGATGTTTTCTGTATTCTGTCATGTTGGTATAGCAGAATCATTTTATTTTGACACCAAATGTGAATTAGTCAGTCATACTGACAAGAAAAATTTTTTAAATTCCACATTGTTTTCTTATGCTTCAGCTCTGTCATGGAATTCTCTTGCTTGAAGTGCCCTACAAGAGTCCAAGTAAAAATCAGACTGAGTGGAAGCCTTAAGCCCTGCATAAAGAGTTGGGCATGGTCTCTCAACTTTCTTTTTTACTTCATATTCTTCCATGAACCCAGGACCCATTCTGCTTTGGCCATAATAACACAGGGTCTGCATTTTAATCTCACCAGGTACTTTCTTCCTGATCTTTATCAAATCAAACTCAGAATCTCAAATACTGTGCACTTAGATCAGTCACCCCTGAGTGGATAGTCTAAAGCATCCTGCCCACATGCCATCCCTCTGTGTGTGTCTCTGCCCTGCAGTTCTTCATTAATACTTCTCTCATATTGATATCTCTCTTACACAATGCTGTCTTCACCCTCCAGTACCGGATCTTGTCCATCTTACTCACATTTCATCCTCACTGTTTCTTTCAATGTGATCAGTTAGTAATATTCACCAATAATGTGAAATAGAAATAAGGTCTGGCAGGTTTCTACAAACTAAAATCAAAACTGATTACAGTGATTGGTATTGAGTAAGTCTCCATGTCACTGCTGGGTCTTGCATATGGCATGGAAAATAGCTGATTCTAAAGACATTTCAGCTATGGTTAGCCAACTTTTATGTGACCTAGTGTTGATGGGTTGATGAACATCCATATGTGCAAACACATCGCTCTATAGCAATGGTTCTCAACCTGTGGGTCGACACCCCTTGATGGTCAAACAATCTTTCACAGGAGTCACAGATCAGATATTTAATTATAATTCATTACAGTAGCAAAATTAGTTATGAAGTAACAATGAAAATAACTTTATAGTTGGGAGGGTCACCACAACATAAGAAACTGTATTAAAAGGTCACAGCATTAGGAAAACTGAGAACCATTGCTGTACAGAGTCAATTGTTACACTCACATAAAACCAGAATAATCACTGATAATTG